GCCCTGTGTCACCTCCTGCGGGGACTCCCGGGCCGTGGTCTACCCTCCTCCCGTGTCCATCGTCTTCCCGGGCCCCATCCTGAGCTCCTGCCCCCAGGAGAGCGTGGTGGGCACCTCGATGCCCGTGGGGCTGGGAGGTTCCTTTGGCTGGGGGAGCTCTGGGGTCGCTCAGAGCTCCTTGGATTGTGGAGCTTCCCCGTACGGCCGATATTCCTACCCCTCCTATTCCCGCTACTCCGCCTACCGTGGCGGGAGCTGCAGGCCCTGCTAAGCCCTGCAGGGATTCCCTGAGGAGTCAGAGAGCCCAGCAGGGACCAGGAGCAAAGTGCCAGTCCATGAAGGAGCAGAGGGACGTGGCTTTCTGAGGGGCAACAGGACTCGGCCCCAGCAAACCCCTCAGGCCTCCTCTGTGCCCTCTGGATGATGTTCTGCTGCCCCCTCCTTCCATTAAAGTTGATGTTGCGTCACAACAGCATTTCCTCTCTGGTTTCATTTTCTCCTCAGCTAAAAACTATTGGCCAGTGGTGCTCAGATGATGCCCTCGGTTGATGGGGATGGCCCTAAAATCTTCTGTGAGGATTTGTGGTGAAAGGGGTGGGATGAAGCATCAGGGAGGACCTCGTGGCTCTCTGCAACTCCCTGACAGGAGGGGGGAGCCGGGTGAGGGTCAGGATCTTCTCCCAGGAAATGACACAGGACAAGAGGGAACGGCCTCCAGCTGTGCCAGGGGAGGGTCAGGTTGGGCATGAGGAGGAATTTCCTCCTGGAAAGGGTGGTCAGACCTTGGCAGGGGCTGCCCTGGGAGGTTTGGAGTCCCCACTCCTGGAGGTGCCCAAGAAAGGACTGGATGTGGCACTGAGTGCTCTGGGCTGGGGGACAAGGTGGGGATGGGGCACAGGGGGGACTCCACGGGCTGGGAGGGCTTTTCCATCCTAAATCATCCTGGAATTCTGCAATTACATAATTTCACTGGCTTGTTGGATCAGAATTCCTCTCCATCCCCTCACCAGCTTATAAAGAGAAAGGAGTGACCTCAATGTCTTTACTACATTTTTAAAGTGTATTTTCTGCTTAAAGGCTTCTGCTAATTGCAAATGCCAGTGCTGGGAATAGATTTCCATTCCATCCTGGGAAAGCCTTGGCTTCAGCTCCTCCATGGAGATGACCCAAACAGGGAGAAGCAGTGCTTTTCTCTGGCTCTTTAAGAGCATTTCTTTTACTACTGAAGGGCCAAAACTCTCATTTCTAAAGTATCTGAGTACTTGTGGTTGGAAGGAAACCATCCTTGGTGACTACTGGGAATTAAATGCAGCATCTGGGAGAGAAATCAGGGAGCTCAGAAGGCAGAGAGGGGTGGAATGAACACAGGTCAAGTGCTGTGCAATAGGGCTTTTAATGGGCACGAGAAGCAAAGCCAAACAGTCACAATAACACAGGGAACACACACAGACACTTCAGGACCTTTCCAAACCACAAAGCTGCTGCATTTCCTACATGAATTTCTGCCCTCTGATTCCAGCTCCGTCTCCATTGGTTTTTTTCTGCCTCATTTTCCACATCCTCCCGATTGAACTGCCGGGAATTCTTTAGCAGGGACCGCAGCTCCCTCGGCTGCAGGTGCTGTACTGGCGGTAAAGGTACGGGCTGCAACTCCCCCTTCCCGGGGCTGAGCAGCCCGAATTGTAGGACCTGCTGGAATTACACGCCCCCCCATAACCGCTGGCACCTCCAAAGAGGATGGAGCCCCTCAGACCGACGGGATTTCCGTACCCCCTGTAACCCAGGGAGCCCCCGGAGCCAAAGGAGCGGCCGATGATGCCGGGGGGGCTGCAGCTGCCCACCACGCTTTCCTGGGGGCAGGAGCTGAGGATGGGCCCTGGAAAAGTCAGGACGACGGGTGGGGGGTAAATCACGGCCTTGGAGTCGTCGCAGGAGGTCACACAGAGCTCGTTGCAGGCGTTGGCCACGGGCTGAGGGCAGCTCAGCTCGCAGGGGTTGCTGTAGGGCAGGCACAGCTCTCCGCAGTAGGACATGGCTCTGGTGGGAAGTGCAGGAGGGGCTTTTTTTTTTATTTTTTTTCCCCCCAGAAATTGGTCTGAAAGACAGAGAGGAGATCAAAATAACACCGGGTGCCCAGCTCCTTCCACCCTAAAAAAAAGCAATTTACAACGAAGCTCTTCTGTAGCGAGACTGGGCGAGCAGAGGAGGGAATTTAAAGCCCCGTGGGCTCAAGGCAAAGTGTCTAAAAAGGGGTCTTTAAAGTTTATAAGTCTCAGATCACCTCCCAGTAACCCACGCCTCTCAAAGCCCGGTTTGCAGCAGAGTTCTATTCGAAGCCACCCAGCTTGGCAGAATTACAAAGCAAAGATCTGACAGTCAAAAGAGGAAGCCCAGACTTACCCGATCCACCGGCGAGGGAAAGTTTGGAGATGCAGGTAAACAGCCTTGAGCTGCGAGTGCTTTTATACAATCCCTGCGAGTGCCCGGAGGGTGAAAGGACTACTTGTCGGTGATTATCTCATTTGCTTGCAAATCGGAGGTTGTTCCTTGGCTCGTTCCTCTCCTGCTGTAATTATCTCTCTGAGGGGTGGTTGTTCCGAGCCCTGGAAGGCAGATATCCATCTGACAGGCGATTTGGGCTTCTCCCTGATCACCGGGTTGCAGCAGACGACACAGGAATCGCAAAATCGCTTAGGCTGGAAAAGACCTCCAAGGTCGTCGAGTCCGACCTTTGAACCGTCCCCACGTTCCAAACCGCCTGAGAGGAGGGTTGGGGCAGAAATTAGGAAGGAATTCTTCCCTGTGAAGGGGGGGAGAAGCCCTGACACAGGTTATTCCCCCTCCCTGGAAGCGTCTGCTTATTTACACCCTTCCCAACTCCAGCCCTGTACTTTAGGTGCGGATTAAGTTCTGTGGGATGGTTATGAGGAAGCTCCAGGCAACAATTTACCCGTTGTTGTTCTAACTTTATTTATTTATTTATTTATTTTTCGTTGCCACAGAATCGAGGACTTCAAAGCACCTCCGTGTGATTAACGTGTTGTAGATACAGAGCTCGACTGTAATAAAATTAATTACATGTTGTTGCCCTTTTAGGTCCTTGATAGTGAGTAATAGTTTCACCTTAAAACTTGATCTCATCATCCTCCTGAGCAGACCCTTCCTGGCTCTGCAGGTCGTGGTTGTTTTATTTGACATAGAAGGCCATTTATTTTCTTTGCTGCACTAAAATCGAAGTGTTAAACGTGCAAACCTTCTGGTCTTTATGCGGTGTAAATCTGCTCTATCGACTGAAAAATACGTAAGAGGATTTCCCTGCATAAAATCTGAGCTTAAGCTGTTATAAAAAAAAAAAATAATAACAATAAAATTGAAACCAGCCTTGTAGTGGGATAAACTCAGATCTTCTCATTAAACATATGTAGCACAAATTCCATAAGCCTTCCTTCTCCGGGAATAATTCTGCTTGTTATGTCATTGTGTGAAGAATTTTTAATTCCCCGTGGAAATTGGGAGCCCACGGATTTATTTACTCTCCAGCTCTGCTTCCAGCTGGAGGATCTGGGTTTCAGCAAGTTGACTGAGGCATTTAACCACAAGTTTTCAAAATCTAAGGTGGACTTTTACATGTTTTCTTTGAAAAAAAAAAAAAATGTGTCTCTGGATATTCTGCAGCACCTCAAGGTCTTTTTGGCCCCCATGGAGGTTCAATTCCCCCTTGTCCTGTCACTCCAGGAAGGGGAAGGGAGAGTGGAGTCTCTGCAAGTCCAAAACGTGCAGCAAATGATAAATCAGTAAAAATAATGTCCAGGAGGGAGCGAATTCCTGCCACTCTCCCACACGGTTCAGGCTCCTCCGAGGAATCGGCAGCAGATTTAGGATTAACAATTATGGACTCATTATCTTATTAGACAGCCTGTAAATCCCAGTAATTGGTAGAAGCTCCACTTGTGTTGGACACCCTGAAGGTGCAGATGCTGCACAAACACAGGCCCATGAGACGTTTCCTGAGGGCTTTTCTCCCTATAAACATAAAATGACAACGTGTGGAATGGCAGGAGACAGATTTATAGAACCCCTATAAATGCAACCAGTCCAGTTACATCGAACAATTAAGAGGTGCAAGAACAGCAGGGGCTGTTGGGAAACAATGCTAATCCTGATTTTAACAGCATTAGCAGTGCCTTTGTCAACATTTACCTTCCAGTCTTTCCTCTCCTGGTCAGTGGTTTGGTCTCTGGCACTTCTGAACCGACAGGGAAAGCAAATGAATAATTTATAGCGTGAAAATGCGACTTTAGGGAGGAGTTTCCAGTAGCTTTGAGGGTGGTTTGCTGGTTGCTGCCGGGGGGAACCTGGTGTTATAATGGGGGAAATTGTGTTGCTCTTCCGAGTCAGCTCCCCATCCCTGACCCCCTGGGCACCTTGGGAAGGACAGGATGGACAAGCTGGTGATTGTTTGGGCCATGGAGTGGAAAAACAAGCTCAGAGACTTCGGGTTTAACTCATGACCCATCAACTGGAAAGCTTTCAGAGCTTCCAGTCACAACCTCCTTGGGGAAACATCACCAGTGGCACCTTTTAGGGGGGAATTAATCAACACTGAGGTGTCTCACTCCAGCAGTTGGGAGGGTGACAACCTGCAGAGCCCTGCAGCCATCAGTGGGAACATCTCTTGAAATGCCTGTTCTGAGCCAGGCCGCTGCTCCAGGGATCTCCCAGTGACTCACCATCATCTGGAGGTCACTTTGACACACTGGCAGCAAACTGGTCAACAAGGAGAAAAAAACAGGCGTAGATTAAGCGCAGAAACACAAATATTCGTTGTGATGGAGAGTGATGAGTAATTCCAATAGTTCAGATTGAAATAGGGAAATTTGGGTTAAATATTAGGAAGAAATCCTTCCCTGAGAGGGTGGGGAGGCCCTGGCACAGCTTGCCCAGAGAAGCTGTGGCTGCCCCATCCCTGGAAGTGTCCAAGGCCGGGTTGGAGCAACCTGGCATAGTGGAAGATGTCCCTGCCCATGGCACGGGGGTGGAACGAGCTGATCTGTCAGGTCCCTTCCAACCCAAACCACACTCTTTGATTCCATCTGCCTTTTATGCAAAACAAAGCCTTTTGGTTCATTAGCAGGTCTTACTGACTCAGGGTTTGGGCAACTCAAGGGCACTGCCTGGGATATTTGCAGGGCTGATTCATGTGCAGAGATTAAATCTTGCTGAGGGCCCTGCGAGCGCTGTGCTCGCCCAAGTGGTGTGGTGGTGGAACATTCCTGAACTGCTTTTGCAAATGTTGCTTGCTCCGAGTGGAACGAGTGTTTACACTTGTCAATCCTTTATAATCCGCACTCTTGGTATTAATTTTTTGGATCAGATTGTAGCCAAAGCTGTGTTACTGGATTTGTCTCAGGGCAGCCAAACCTTAGAACTGCTCTGTGGCGTTCAGGAGATCCTGTGATTTGTGTCAGGCATTTCAAAAGATACCAAAGCTGAGTCTAACCCAGGCTCCCCCATGGGAGCAGATCAATCCTCTTTAGGGCAGCAATTATCTTTCCTATCAAAAGGGACATAATAACCACCTCCTTTCCATAAAATAGCAGCGGTGGCCAAAAGTGATGACAACCAGGAGAGCTGGGAAAGTTGATTGGAGCTGCCTTGGGTTGTAAACAGAGACAGAGATGGAGGGGAGGGACCGGCAGGGGCTGATCCATGGGCTGATCTTCAGGAACAGGAGCTGATGAAGACCTTGCAGAGGTTGTGGTTGTACCAGGAGCTCTCCTGGGCGTGTGGTTGGCAGAAAGGGCTCCAGACACCGACCCAGGTCGCTCCATGGCTGGTTCATGGTGACCTCAGCTGGGGGAACGTGCTTAGGCTTGCCTGGAACATGGACCTAGACCAGAGGAACATGGACCCAGACCAGCCTGGAGAACAGACCCAGACTTACAGGTAGGTTTTGCATTCCCTGCCAGGCTGGGTCTGAGTCAGCCTGAGCTGATTCCACAGGAGGGAGCAGCCCCAGCACAGAACTGGGCCAACAGAGCAATAGCCCAGTTGGGTCCTTCAGCCCCACCAACCTCACCCCGTCCCCCTCAGGAGAGACCAACCTGCCCCCAGAGCACGTCCCTCCAGGCTGGGAAGGGGGCTGGCAAGAAAGAGGAACCTGCAAATCCTCTGACATTTATTAATTGCTCCCCCAAGACCTTCCCAGCCACGGGGAGATGAATTCCAGGCTGCTGCCAAGTGTCTTCACAGTGGGAGCTTTGGTGGTTTATCTGCAGCTGGTTTGCGGCTCAGGTTTTTTCCTGCTTATAAAATTATTATTTTATTAATAAATTTGTTTTATTTTAATGTTAAAAAAACCCCACCTGTCTTGTTTTAAAACGCTGCCAGCTGGAGAGTGAACTTCTGGAGTGGCTGAAATGAGGGCCCCAAATGTATCTTGTGAGCCCCTCTTTTAAACTCAAGCTTTATGTCTTGATTATGGGCGTGAAAGGCATCATAAAACAAAAGAAGAGCAACTTTATAGTGAAAATCATCACTTTACTAAAAAAAAAAAAATAAATAAATACCTTGAGAAGATATAGAAATAAACGTGTGTGAAATAATGACCTTTTTCTTCACCGGTTATTACAGAGGCTCGGGGAATGTAACCCAAATAATATATTATTAACATTAAATTAACATACCACATTACAGGTGTAACACATCAGTGAGTGTCTGGGAAGCAGCCTGGCTCCCTTTGTTCTGAGGAAGTCTTGGGATGTTTCTGGGTGGGTGTAATTGCAGGAATAACATGGTATTCCACAGGCACCCGGAGAGCAAACACGTGTAGGGAGCCATTAGGGAAGAATGGAATTACCATAACCTTCAGGAGGAAAAACACCACCTGGGATTGCTTGGCGTGAGCAGGACACACCTGATGTCCTAAACAGCCCAAAGGGCTTCGCTGCTGGCACCAGTGGAGATGTTTGAACCTGGGGCTCTGGCCAAGCCAAGAACCGGTGCTGCAGGTCCACCCGTGACGGTCACCACCAAGATGTGCAAAAAGAGTCCCGTGCAAAAGCAGTTCAGAAAAAAAGGTGGGATGCAGAAAAATTAAAAAAAAAAAGAGCAGCTTGAATTTGGCTTCCTTCAGTTTGTTCACAGAAAGGAAAGTCTCCAGAGAGGGCTGGTTGTGAGTTAGAACAGGGCACTCCAAACCCAGACATCTCGCTGTCGTTTGGAGGGTTTAACCGGGTGCCTCTGTGATTTAGACCTTTGCTCGCTGCTTTCCTGACTGACATCCCCTCTTGGCACAGAGCAGAACCAACTCCCTGACTTCACCTGGGCGTCAAGCTTTGAGTGGTCAAGAGGAGTTCATCTAAACAAAGGCCGAGTGTCACCGAGAGAGCGCTGCAGCCCAAGGAGCAGAGGAAAAAGGAGATTCAGAAGGCCAACGCTTTTGATGCAGGAGCATTTTAATGTGAATGCAAAGTGGAAGTGAACATTTGCAGAAAGAGTAACGCAGGCTAGAAGGAGCATTTCTCTAGAGACAAGAAAAGCTAAACCCCAAAATTCCCCAGTCCCTCCAGCGTGACCCGTTTCCTCGCGACGTTCCCTTCCCTTCCCTCGCCACTTGCTGAGTCCCGTTCCAAGCCCTACCGCTTCCAAACCAAAATCCCTGCCATTTGAAACCAAATCCATTCCTTCCAAAAAACCGTGCTCAGTGTCAGACTGGGTGGAAAAAAAAAAAAGTTAAAAAGCGCAGACTTAAGATGCAAAGCCACGAGAATAAAGAAATCTAAGCTAAAGCGCTACGAGGAGTTTAAACGCAGAGTTCCCGGTTTCCAGCGTCGCTTCCCTCTCCGGTGTCCCGTCGATCACATTCCGTGTTCCTTCGCTTCTTTCCTTGTTTCCTTGCCGTGACTGTCGACCTGCAGCTGATTAGACCTTCTTGCAGAGGCCCCTCTGGCACGGGTGCTTCCAGCGGGTGGAGTAGGTGTAGGAGCACTCGGGCACACACTTGGTAGCGCACTGGGGGGCGCAGGGGGTGGCACAGGTGGGCACGCACTTGGTGACGCACTTGGTGGCGCAGGGGGTGGCACAGGGCGCGGGGCACGGCGCGGGGCACGGCGGGGCGCACTTGGTGGCACAGGGGGTGGCGCACTTGGTGGCACAGGGGGTGGCACAGGGGGTGGCGCACGGCGGTGGGCACGGCGGGGCGCACTTGGTGGCACAGGGGGTGGCACAAGGAGTGCACTTGGTAGTGCACGGCTGAGCACAGGGTGGAGCACACGGAGCACACGGTGGAGGGCACGGAGCACACGGTGGAGGGCACGGAGCACAGGGTGGAGGGCACGGGGCGCACTGAGGGACGCACACGGGCTCACACTTGGCGGCAAACTTGGGGGCACAGCAGGACTCGAGGCACTCCAGGCCCTTCTGCGACCCCCCGATGGCCACGCCCGACTCCAGCGCTCCCGCCAGCTCGGCCGACTCCGTGGAGCCCACCACGGTCTCCTGCGGGTAGGTGGTGAGGATGGGCCCCGGGATGGTCACCACCACGGGAGGGGGGAAGATGATCACCCTGGAGTCGGGGCAGGCGATGACGCAGGGCTCGGTGCAGGCGGCCGCGCGCGGGTCGGGGCATTTCAGGTCGCAGGGACGCGGCTCCACGCACACGTTTTTCTCGCAGGACATCCTCGAGGTTGTGCTGCCCACCTGCAAGAAAACCACACGTGTGAGTGAAACCAGGCTGGAAGGACAAGATCAACAGCCAAGTGACAGGAGTTGGTAGATTAGGTGGTCACCACCCTGCCCTGCTTCGCTTTGCTCTTCTCCGTGACCCTTCGGGGCCCAAAACCCTCCCTGCAGACAACAAAGCACCTCTGGCGTGGCTGCTGGAGGAACAACTGTCCTCTCCTCTGTGATTTGGAAGGGGAGGTCGGTGAAATTAGGGCGTTGAGGAATGGGAAGCACGAAATGTTGCACCGCTTTAGATTTGCATAGTCTGGGTCAAGCAGACAAAAGACAGGGATATCATCCCTGTGAGGGAATGGATCCCATCAGGATAGAAATAACTCGGGGTTTAGTGCAGTCACTTCGGACCTTAATACAGAGATTCAGTATCAGGCTCACTTGGGAAATTAAACAAATAAACCTCCGCAGGCTCACAAGGGGAAAAGTTGGAGCACAGCAAAAACCTGGCAGCGGGTCCCTGAATTTAAATTCCTGGGCTGAATTCTGTGGCTTTTTCGATCTTTTGAAATAAATTGAAGGGTGGGGAGGTGATTTGGAAAATGCAATCAACCTGTGTTTCAAGTTGCCATTTAAATTGTAACCAAATTCCAACTCGAAGCACCGAACGAAGGAGCCTCTTAATCTGTTGTTCGAGATTAAATGGAATATTTTGGTTTCAGCCAAGGTGGTTCTTTATTGTCTGAACTGCTGCACATTGGAAAAGCCTGGGTGGGGCTGGGTTTGACTCAGGCAATTTGCGTTTTTCTTTTTCTAGACAGAATGTCAAAATATCCATCATTCCCCCCCCCCAAACTTCTCCTGACCTTTAAACCCCAATCCAGCCACTCTCTTCAGGTTCCACCCTTTTAACCTTCTACAACAATTAACTCTGTGACCTTGGCTTGACCCCCAGCACAGACCAAACCAGAGGAAAAGGAGAAGTGAGACCCAGACCCAAACACAAAACCCGGAGCACAAAAAATTCCCACTGGATAATCCATTCCTACACAGCCCGTGAGGTGTTTTGCACAAGACCAGTGCTTTGCATAAATAGAATAAAACCCCCCAAAGCAACTTCCCAAGGAATTTACAGCTCTGAGCCCAAAAGGTGACTGCAGATGTCCCAGTGTTTCTGTAGCCCATGCCAATAGTTGCACATCTCTGCCCAAAATTAGATAAAGAGTAGAAGCCACAAGTTCAGGACCGCCCCACCAGGTGGGTATCACTGGCTGAGGTATTTTAAGGCTTTTTTTATAAGGCTCTATACATTAAATTTCCATAAATTTTGATATCATCTCAAATTCAAATCCAGTTTTACACCTCAAGCCAGCAGCACTTCTGAACTTTTAGCAATTAGCAAATGGCTCTTTCAGGAAAATAAACTCCTGACTATTGCCTGGAATCACAGAACACGAATCCGAAATCCAGCCCTGAATTAAACGTTAAACACTTCCAAAACTATAATTATATTTTTTTTTAAATTTTATTTTAATTTATTTTAGGTTAAAAAAAAAAATGATATCAGAATCCAACTTACTCAGTTCACCGAGGAGAGGCCAAGAGAACCTGCTGGAAGGTCTCTGAAGCAGGAATTGTCTTATATACCTGTCTGGACCACCAGGCTGATGCAAGAAAATAACGTCATATTTGGGCATTAGGCTCCATTACTCCCCAAACCCAATTTGGAGGGTAATTACAGTAATTGTTTTGCTTTGCTTACTGTTTGTGTTGATTACCCCGTTCTTGCCAGCACGTGACTTGTCCCTGGATTCCTCTGGATTCCCAGTTTTCAGCCTCAATCCCGGTCTTGGGGTGTGGAAAGATTAAAGCCCGGCATAGTGGGAGCCCTGTCTGTGCTGCAGCTGCTCAGAACTCCCAGGGCTCTCCCTTCCAGTCCTTAAAAAACAGCACTTTGTTTTCCTGGCTTTAACATCAGGGCCTCCAAGAATGCATAAAGAGCCTAACCTAACATTAGGCCTGAGTGTGCTGGCTGGTTTAAAGCTTGTTAGGACGTGTTTACAGAGTCACTGCATGACTGGTGTGCTCAAATTGCCTCCCAGAGACAGTCCTGGCTCCTCGCCTGACACTCCAAAACACGACAGGTCCCAGGTTTAGGGGCATAAAATAAAAACACAACAAGTTTCGCCTCGGTGTGAGTTCAGGACTTCTTTCCACGGAGGGTGGAGCAGCTGCCTGGGAAAGGCTTGGAATCTCCCTCTCTGGAGACATCCCAAACCCACCTGGGACGTGTCCTCGTGTCACCCCTGCCCTGGGTGATCTCCAGAGGTCCCTTCAGGACTATTCTGGGATATAAAACAGCACCAGGACTTGGTGGAGCCCCAGTTTTTAGCACAAGATGCCTCCTCCTCTGCCACGCAATTCCCGGTCATTCCCAGGAAGAAACACAAGAGGAGAAAGCTCATTTTGGTCAAAGTGGGATGGTCAGAGGGATCCTGGTATGGGATAAATCACTCCATCCCCAGCCCAAGTTCACGGTGGTTTTGGTCACAGCTGGCACCAGAAAGGCACGTTGTGAGTGTGAGGAAGAGTGTGGGAAAC